TTTATAAAATTCTGAATTTTTTGATAAATGTCTGTACACGCTGTAACTTTTGCAAATTTTTAGATATCAGGTTAAATTTTTTTACATGAATAGAGTATTATTAAAGGATGTTTGATATTGAACTTAGTGAGGATCGGTGAAAGAATTCATTTTAATTTTTATTTTGCTCACAAAGCTTGCAAAAATTGAAAAATTCGCATGCTTAAAGCAGCTTTAGCTTTGTAAGATAAAATGATGAGGAAGCAATGTGCAAGTTTCTGATTTGCACAACTCTACTTGTTTGTTATTCTTGTGTGATTCAAAATGTGTGTATATATATATTATTATTATTATTTTGACTCCAACTTTAGCGCTATATATAATACGAGTTTATTTTTATCTCGGCGCAATCACTTAAAAGCAATCAATATAGTTTGAATAACTCTCACAAACTTATATTTATATTTAATAGATTATATTATAAATAATAATAATTATTAACCTTAAAACAACTTTTCAATTCTCGCAGAAATTATAAATTTACTTTCCACTAATCAGTGTAATTTGCTAATCATATATAGCATCAGAAATAATGTTCGCATAATTGCGCAGTGACTTTCAAGAGTGTACAAATAATTTCTTAGTTTTTATATCAAAAAATGCTCAAATATATATATTTTAAGCGATATTTCATTCTAATAAATACTAGAGAAAGTCATCCAACAACTTTTCAATTTCATTGCAAAACTGTTCCATAATATTAGTATCATTTTTTTAAATGATAACTTTTCAGTAATTACAAATCAAAAATGTTTATTACTAATTTTTCGTATCTCCGCGCGCACAATGTATATGTGTGTGTACGTGCGTGTGCGCGCACGATAAGTATCCGCGCGTGAAAAAATTATTAATTCACTATATCGATGTACAAAAATAATGCATCGAAATTTAATATTATTGATCCGCTGGAACGTTTTGCATTTATGTATTATTATGTATTTCGAATACGATCAGCTGTGACAACATGGCGGGCATGCCATCTATCGCTCGAGCGATTTAAATTAAGATAACGAAGATCCACACAGAAACGGAGCCACGCAGTTGTATGTGTTCGCTAGCAGCGTAAACAAGATGTAAATTGGCTGCATTTATAATAGAAATGTAATAGAGAAAATCTCTTCTCAACCATACACTTCTTCACGTGTGAGTACTTTATTCCCGTTAAAAAGGGTTATGCGAACGAGCAACAGTGTTTCGAGTAATTAATTTGTTTTCTAACACTCATTTACTCAATTTAATTTATATATTTCTCCTTTAGAAGAAATTGTATTTTTTCATCGACTGAACATAAACAAAAATGATTTTATAGTAGAATTTTGCAAATTATTGTATATTGCATAAAAAAAAGTTTATTATAAATTGATGATTTGACTATGAATTTTTGAAAAAAAAAAAAAAGGATATTGAAATTATTATGGAAAAATTGTATATAGTGTTAATGATATATAGATTTAATGAATGAGAGTCAACGATAATACTGATATTAAAACGATTTTGAGATATGATAGATAATAGGGAAATATGTTTGATAGAATTGTTTTGTGAGAATAATTTTCTGATTTTATATATAATTTAAAAAAAAGATCTAAATATATAAGAAGCAACCTGACAATTTCCTCTGGGAAACAGCAATTGATAATTGTTATATATTCTGAGAGTGTGGTGCCAGGTTCAGCTTGAATCTCTTGTACTTTTTTCAAGCCACCAGATGTTACAAATAGCCTTCTTGCTTTCGCATCATTCGGCAAAATCTGCATGCACAGAAAGATACAACATTATGTAAAACTAAACATGCGATAACACATACACAAATATGAATTATTTAGTAGAAATATAAAAGCATCATTTAGTCTGTACGATATAAAAAATTGATTTTAACGGAATAATCAGTTAATATTTTCTAAAATATGGGGTAGAATGGCTCTGTACTGAAGAAATATGATAGAGATATCAAAAATATTATTAAAAATCACACTGTGTTGTATGTTGTAAGTAGGCTAAGATTTCTGAAATCAAACTGGATTTGTATAACTGTCTGCGAGTGCATCTGCTAATATTCACAGAACCTATTTTCTTGTATAGCAATCTGTGACGTGAATTTTTCAAATAAATTAATCAAGTAGAGAAATATGACGAGAGAAATCTATCTTTAATATATACATTTGGAGAACTCCCACTTATTTCTTATACTTCTATTTAACAATTTTGAGTTGCTTATTTATTCAATCTTTAATCATTCTTTATTCAATCTTTTATTTTTTATTTATCACGCGTAAAACTATATATATATAATGCATTTCTATCATTGATCACAATCTTCTCAAACTCTATATATATGCATATATATAATTTATACACATATATACCACTTTGTTATATAACTATATACAACTTTTCATAAACGCCTTTTCGTATTTAATTTAATTTTATTTGAAATGTTGGAAGTCGATATCTGGGATGAAGTAGAGTATGTTAAATTTGTTTGTTATTGTTCCAAACATTTGAATTATACTATAATAATGCAATACACACAATGTGTAATTCACAAAATCATATTTCAAAACAGAAATAAAAAATATATATATTTATTAAACCAAAAATATTTTGCACTATTATATATAATTATAACTTAATATTATATAGTAGATATAGTTGATATAGTATTGTTTAAAGTCTGACTCACACTTTAATATGCTTTAATTACGCGAAAATTAAATAGCAAAAATAACATTAGATTTATTGTATTTATGTAAAATTTTGTGTAAAAATATTAATTAATATACCAGATTTTGAGAGTTTTATTTTGTCGAATGTGTTATTGTGTTTTAAGTTATCTTCTCTTCCGCATTCGTAAAATGTGACGAGTGTAATTTGCGTTCTTGAAAAGTAAGAGGAGAAAGGGGAGAGAGACAAAGGGAAAAGATAGAGAAAAAGAAATGATATAATAAAAAATGTAAAGGATAAAGAATAAGAGATAGAAGGACAAATATCTTTGACATTAAACCAAGTCTCTTTAATTTTGAATTACTAAAACTTCTGAAACTTTATTGACTAGTTCTTTGTTATTGGAATGGAATTTTGTAAACAACTTACATATCGCTATTAATAGTACTAATTTCGACGTAATATTTATATCACAGAGAGTGCATATACTACACAGCTTTGAATAACATACGAATATAATTTATATTCACATAAATATTCAATGCTTATTGTTTCGGTATCTTAAAAATGTCCTCTAGTAAGTTCACGTAATTTTATTCAAATTCATATTATATCGTTCACTTATTTTAATTTCCTCATTTTCATCTGTTTGCAGTGCTTATTGCAGTTTTACATTGTGAATCATCAATAAAGCTACGCCACTGATATGTAGCGGAAGATACTGCAACGTGTCTTTTCAACCACCATTGCATCATATCCGATGACGAAAGTATCAAAATCATATACAGTCAATTTTGCTCTCATCAACTGCAACTTAAGGACGACCATTGATCAATCCTGAAGTTCTGCAAGAAAAACTAAAGAGAAATTAATTTGTGCTTTATTACTCATGCTGTGCATTTGACGAAAATGCGTTTGGATTGAAACATAAAAGCGTTTCAAGCGGATATGCGTTTAAAAAATCATGCTTTTGGGTCGTAAATGTAAGAACATCAGGAAACCGACTAGGGAAAATTAATACAATTTAAATTTAGTCGACAATATTTCAACAGTTGGAGATTAAAGAAAAGTTTAAGCTTTTTAGCAAGGATGTGGTGTGCTAATTTGTCATACTAATACCATATAGTCACGAATATCGCGAGCGCCCGGTATATAGTCTTGATAACGAGACAAGATAGCTGTCTTAAATTTTCGAGATACTGTGACAGCTTGAATGACAAAACAAGGACATTTTATTACTATTCTCTTATAAGTTGTGTATCGCGCGTATATGTGTATTCGTGCATACATTGGCATATTTATAAAATCTCTTCTGTGAAGTCTCCTAATCAGTTCTTTCGAGATCACGCGATAGACTGGCTGCTTTAAAGATGAGTTTATTAGAATCTGCGCGATTATAAGAATCTTTTAATAAGTATCTGGAAAATTCAATTTACGTTTCAGACAAATTGTGAAGTTTGTTAATTATATATTTGTGCAAATAGTACATTAAAAAGAATAACGCGGAGCAAGTGTGCGTAATAAAATAATAAAAGAAAGAAATAGTAGGTAGCCATCAAAATGATAAATAATCAGCATTGTGTGATTCTCAATACTGGCGAGACCAATAGTTATCATCAACCGGTCTCGGCTAAGCCCTCTGTTGTTTCTGTATCAAGTATTGATTCTGACGTCAGCGATAGAAGGGATGTACGTGAGGAATTGTATGCCGGAATCTTTAGGAGGCACAGAAAAACTATACTGGTATTAGGCAGTTTTCTCAAGATGTTAAGAGTAAATAGAAACATGAACAATTATGCTAGTATTAAACCCAATGATGAAACAGATGAGTAAGCTAATGTGATTAGTGCATTAATTAAATAACGGAAAATTTTTGTCTTATTTATTAATTTAAGTATATAAAGATGATTCTTTTTATTTCGAAACATTTCTTTCAGTTGGGTATTTTTTTTTTAACTTATAGGAAACTCCCACAATATAAACAATTTTTGTAATTAAGTAGATTTATATATTCAGACAAATTTCTTAAAATATCAATTACAAATAATAATCGATATCGGGATGCGGTATTTTACACCGTTAAAAATATAAATTTTATATACATATAATTGCTGCAAATATTTATTGTTCTATTGTTCTCAATTATTTTATAAATAACTATAATACTATAATAATTAATAAATAGGATAAAATAAAATTCAATTTCAATATTCTAGTATTCAACATTTTTCTACTTAACTTACTTCACTATTTCTTTTAATTCTATTTTTTTTTTAAATTCCACCATATTCAATTTAGATATTCGTGTTCTTTTTATTCTTTCAATTTCTTATATGTAAATCTTTTTCACGAATTTCTAAGTTAAACAAATTTCCTTATTCTATGTCTCTGATTATAAATAATAAATTATAATTAAAAAGATCTATTGTGAAAAAAAACTCTGCCAGTGAAAAGATTTAATATACAAATAGAAGAGCAATTTTTTTATACATTTATGAACATTCTGACTGCATTTTACAAAAACACAAAATTGCCTATTGAAAAATTGCTATTATCAACAGACTCTTGTCAAGTTAACATCATTGGTTTTAATAATACTTCTACATAACATATATAT